AAATATTTTATAGGCTTCTAGAATAGAATAGTTGCATTCTACTGGTCAAGGCCTAAAAAGTTGAAGGTCTTGGGTATAGAATTTAGTTTAGTTACATGCAGTAAATGAAAGCAAGTAATTCCAACAAAACAACCTCATAAGCTATAAATTGACTTGATCGAAATAAGTATTGGTGTCATAATCACACTATTAAGCTATAAGGAGAGGAGCATGTTGGTGGAGGCATGGCCCCCCGATGGTTCAAAAATTACTGTTACATGTCTCAATTCCTTGACTTCTCCAAGTTTGAGGTCTTCCCATATTACTCTGGATTCCAACATTTCCTCGTCGAATGCTCTACTCTCAACAGTTACACAATAGAATTCCTTGATGAGTTTGAACTTTTCGTGACTTGCTTTTGGATATTATAGGGTTTCACTGTGTGTAAGTGTAACTATGACTGAATCATTCTGCTGTATTACATCTCGAACGACAAGTTATATGTTATTTCTTTCCACGCATAGAAAGTATTTAGAAAACATAGAACGAAACTTCTCAACCTATGTTTCATACGGATAAAAATGATTTCAATAAAGGAATTTTAATTTATCTGATATACATTGTTTTAACTTTTAGGTCACAAAGAAAGTACCTCATACAAGAAAAACAAGCATATTCTTCACGAGTTAAGAAGATATGCTTTCCACCAAAAACAAAAATGTATTACCAATTCTGCTCTTAATTTACAAAAGTTTTGGGCTATTTTGTCTTATCTTGATTTAAAATAATTTTAGAAACTTATAAAAATAAGCATCCTTTTTATAATGCCGTTTCTCTTAAGAACATTAATTCTGTAACAGTCACCTTAAATAACAACAAAAAGATAAATGACTATAAAAGGAGCTACTCAACTGTAAAATTCATAAACTATAAGTGATCCTTTGCAAAGAGTCAAAATCACTACCATAATCAGAGTGCATCAGCAACCTCAAGGTGAAGATAACAGTATATTCAACAAAGAAGAAAAAAGCAGTAGTCAAAGGGAAGGGAAATGGTTACAGGGAGAGAAATAGTTTCTGCAAAAATTCCTCGATATCCCTCACCATACCCTTACTCCCTCTATATGTTCTCTTAACTCCTAAGCTAAGTAACTCATTATTAGCCTAGTTGCATTACTCTAAAGCCCAACAAGTCCATTTGTTGCCTCCACTATTAAATTGGGCCCAATTCATGATATAACCTTTCACGATAAAATAGACCTTGTCCTCAAGGTCCAAGGGTGGCAAAGGCACTTGAAAAGCATCCAAGTCGTGCTTAAAGGTGGATCAAGACTTTTTCAAAGGATTGTCATATGACATCCCTAACAGTAGTAAATCATGTTGCATGAGCATGTTATACCTTGACTGTTCCACACCGTATCAATAAACAAAAGGATTAAATGAATCCCATGTTAGACTTTGTGTGTAGTAACAATATTTCCATTCAAGTGCAGAGGATCCGCGAGACTATATTTATACCCGCATCTTGCCTTGGTAATCAATTCCAATGTCGTAGTTGCACCCATAGGCCAACTTTGAGGAACTGCAACACACTAGTGGTGATCGGCCTTGAGCTTGAAGACCCAGTGGTAGAACCTCATGTGCAACAAAGCTCCTTAACCTTCAAAAGGGCTTGGTTCATCTCGGCCATAGTCTTCTCCAATCTACTCATCAGTGTCTTGATTTTCACCAATAAATCTCCCAATGAAGGAACCAGTGCAATGGTCACTACGGATAACAACAAAATACACTAAGATAGATGACTACAAAAGAAGCTACTGGACTGTGAAATTCATAAACTATAAGTGATCATTTACAAAGAGTCACAATCACTATCATAATCATAGTACACCAGCAACCTCAAGTTAAGGACAATGGAATATTCAGCAGAGAAGAACAGAGCAGTAGTCAGAGGGAAAGGAAACGGTTACAAGGAGAGAGACATCTTTTGCAAAAAGTATTCGATATCCCTCACCATGTGTAACATCCAAAAAATTAACCTAAGGTTAATTAAGTTAATTTAGAGAAAATGAATAATTTTGAAGAAATATTTAGATATAAATAATTTTAGTTAGAACATTATTATTGAATTTAATTTAGATTAAAATTCTAAGTTATGATCTTATAGGAAATAAAAATAGTAATGATAATATTATTAAAAAAAAGAAGAAGAAGGAAAAAGGAACATAAAATAAATTGAAAATTAGAGAGGGGAGAGAAGTAATTTTTGCTTTGGGTGTTGAGGTGTAAATAATGCAAAAAGAAAAAAAAGAAAAACAGAGAGGAAGAAGAGAGCTTTCAGCGTCCGCGTGCTACAATGATTATATATATAATAATAAAAAAAAGAGAAGAGAGAGGAAAGAGGAAAATAAAAAAAATTATGGGACCCACAATATTTTTTTATAAAACCACCCTCTTTCCTTCGCTTCTTCATTTCTTCCCTGTGCGCGAGCTGAGGTAGAGAGCGAGCGATGCTGCGGCTAGAGGAGTTGATTTAGAAGGTGAAGCTCCATAGTAAGATATTTCAAATGAGATTTTAAGTATTCTATAACTAGGTAAGTGTTCTAAATATTTTTTTCTTAATCGTTTTTCCCTTTGAGTTGCAAATTTTGAAATTTTAGAAAAACTAGGGTTTGAAAGAGGGATGAATTTATGTTAAATAAATATAATTTTTGAAGTTGTTAGTAGTGTAATAAATATTCTAGAGTATTATTTTGTTGATAGAATTAGAATTTGACGCATTTGAGTTTATCCCTAAATTCCTATGGGTAAATTTTTGGTTAAATTTAAAAATATAAATTAATTTATTGATATTTAAATGATTATTTGAGATAAAAAATAAATTATTATGGCTATAGAATAATAATTCTAGGCTTGAAATCAAATTTGTAATTTCTGGGTATTTTTATGTGCGAACTTTTGGAATAAAAAGAGAAATTTTGATATTAGAAAATTATTTGAATGAAATTATTGTGAAGGAGACTATTGAACCAAATAGACAGGTTCAAATACATGAAATTAAATTTTAGAATTCAAGAGACTAAGACTAAATTCTTAAAAATATATATATATATATATATAAAATATAAAATAAAATAAATATTTAGGTGTTAGAGTATGAGTGAAAATTATGTTAATAATATTATTGACACATTGAAATATGATCAATTGTAGATTAATTTTCTCTTGACACCATTCAAGCTTTAAAAAGCTTTGAAAGTGTTGTAACTTGGGGGGTAATCTTTGACCTCTCAAAGGTTGAGGTAATTGGGAGAAATTTATTTTATACATTTGTATATTAATTAATTAATTATGTTAGTAAAATAAAAGAATAATATATATATATCTCTAAATTTGAAATAGTTGTTTGTAAGGTATGTGACTTTGTTGAGACTTTATGACTTGTGAGTAATGAGATTGATGGTTGATGATTATGTGTACACTCTTGGTTATAAGTTGTGGATTATGCACAGTGATGAAAGTTGATGAGCATGTGGGATAATTTTGAAATATATATATGAGTTTTTGAAATGTATTTTCTTATGAGCATGATCATATGGCGGGAGTTCGCCTTAGTGAAGGAGTTAGCGGTTATGCAAAATCCATATGGTACTTGGCTATTAACCAATAATCCTAGGGATTATAGCCGCTACTTACCTTGTAAGGTACTGTAACATTATTTATATTAAGGGACTTGACCCTATTTGCCTACCTGGAGTTTTGGGTAGATCTAGTTTTGGGTATGACACCCCATAGTGTGTGATTTGGGAGAAACCATGTTCATAAGTGAGTAAGGTAATCCTGACCCGATAGCTCCTCATGATATGATTAAGGCTTTGGGTAGTCTTACCACATGTGAATAATGTATACATGGTTATTTGTACAAATTTTATACTTGACTTTATTTTTGAAATTATTCACATGAGTTAAATGTTAATGTGATTAACATGTTATTAATATGATTGTTTGAATGATCACCTTGATAAACTTATTAACCACTTGCATTCATGATTAATTACCATGCATTTGTATAACTTACATGTACCTTGGTTACTGAGTGGTTGTACTCACCCCTCTCTTTTAACATATTACAAGAGCTAGCTCATCTGAGAAGAACAGAGGAAAGGAGCATTAGGCCAAGTGATAATAATCACTTCTGTAGGCCTCTCTCCTTTTATTTGATATGTGTATTTAGTTTATGATATTGCCAATTAGGATAATATATTCTTGATCCACTTGCACTATGGGTTTTGCGTAGAATGGAAATGTATTTTGGGCCCTGGGGAATGTGGTTAGATACTTGTGCTATAATTACGGGCCAAAATATTTGTGCAAGTAAAAAAAATAGTTATTATCATGCTTCCGTATAGGTTTAATTGAATGATATGAGTTCTTAAAATATTTTAAAGACTTGGGATTCTTTTATATTAAATAGTTTTAAAAAATACATATTAAGAATTTATTTGGGTTAATCTCGTATTTGGATAATCCATTTCGATTAATCCTTGATTAACTATAGTTAGTATGATGATTAAGTCTTAATTTATGACGCCCTTTACACCATAGCCTTGCTCCCTTTACATATTCTCATGACTCCAAAGCCTAGTAACTCATCTGACAATCCAATTACATTACTGTAAAGCCCACAAATCCACTTGCTACCTCTACTATTAAATTGGGCCCAATTCGTGACACATTCATATCATTTGATAATCATTTTCTTTTAAAAAACTGTCTTAGATTATAAGACAATTTTAAAAGTATTTTATTATTTTAAAATTTAAAACATCTTAAAATAAATAATATTTTATTCATGATATTTTTTAATATTACTTTTTAAGTGGAGGAAAAATTAAAATGATTGTAGTGTAACAATTGAGTGAGTGAGTTTAAAGTGATATTAAATTAAAAGTATTTTTGATATCATTATTAAGTATTATTATAACATGCGCGATCCGATTTTAAATTATCTTGAACAGAGAATGAAAACACTTAACATACACCACCAGATTCAATGATAAAAATAACAATGGTATACAAAAAGCAACAGAGAGATGCCATCTAGCTAGAGTTGTGCTTCTGATAGGAGTAAGAACTAAATGGGGGGATCGAAGCAGACAGAAAATGGCCCGACAACGCATTCGGATAGAGAACAGAGATGTCTAGCACGCTGTCTGTTTGAATTCTTCCTCGTCAATGACTCCACCTTCTCCTACAATTAAAAATAAACCACACATATATAGACGCATGACGGGTCCTGATAGTTTTATTTTGAGATGGGAACCGAGGGAATGCGGGGACACAGTCACTGGTTCTTGAAGAGTTCCAAGCAGTGTTCTTGGTCCAAGTTCCTGCTCCAGAACTTGCCATAATATTCGGCATAGGTAAAGCCCCTGTACACGGGTTCCGATCCATTTTGGGTGAGCTGCTCGGCGGGACTGATCAAGGCATCATCAGAAGGGCAGAGAAACGAAGCCACCGAGAGCCTGGGCTTGTCGGCATTCACAACAGCTCGATGCCAGACGCTCTTGTAAACCCCATTAGTGAGGGCCTGCAGCCGCTCATGGAGAAGCAAGAGAAAATGAGAATCCCGAGAAGTAAAGGGCAACCAGAAAAGGAAGAAAGAAATACCTGGAGCTGGTCGCCGATGTTGACGACGAGAGCGTGAGGGCGGGGATTAACGGCGAGCCAGCGGTGGTGGTGGAGGACATGGAGGCCGGAGACGTGGAGGTCCTGGAGGAGGATGGTGAGGGCGTTGGGGTCGGTGTGAGCCGGCAAGCCGTAGGTGAGCTCAGGCTGTGGGCAAGGGGGATAGTAGTTGACGGCCATGTGCTGCCCCTGATCTCCCCAGACGTCCTTGATGTAGTGTCTGTGCAGTCCCAGGCTCTCCCCAATGTACTCTTCTATCCTCATTCCCAGCTCCCTCACTTCCCCGCTGTATTTTCTCACTATTTCCCTGCTCATGCCACGTCGTGCATTATCAAACCCCTACGTTTATTACTTTTACTAATATTCAAATGCTGCTACAGTCTAGTTTGGCTTGGAGCACGCGAATTACAACGATGCTTATCATTGTGATCTCTGAACGGTCTAAATTTAATTTATTATTATATATTATATTTTTAAAATTAAAATTTATAAAAATTATAAAATAATTTTAATAAATTTTTATTTTAAATATGATCTAAATTTAATTTAAATAATCTAATTTAATATTAAAATTTTTATAATTATTATATATTGATTATTCAAATATACTCTCTGCAGTTTAAATTTAATTTGATATTAATTTAAATTGTGCAGAATACTTTTAAATAATCAGTATATATTAATTATAAAAATTTTAATATTAAACTCAACCCTTTAAATTAAATCTAAATCATATTAAAAATAAAAAATTATTAAAGTTATTTTATAAATTTATAAATTTTTATTTTAAAAAATATAATATATAATAATGAGTTAAATTTAAATTATTCAAATTAAATTTAATTATAGCGATGAGGACCAAACTTGCCGAACATGCGTTGGTGGGCCTAGATTTGCGTGTCGTTTCTTACCGAAACAAAGGGATGACGTCAACGCGGAATGGAGTGGTGATGTAAGCTTTCCCAATTTCCCTGCCCCGCTCCCCCCGTTGCACTCTTCCGCTAATCATTCCCCCCACCTTCTCCACCCTTCGTTTGGGAGGATTATTTCGAACTCACCTTTCACTATTTCCCATAAAATTATTAACAAAATAGTTGTCCTTGATTAATCAACCGACTTTAAACAATTCAAACATATTTTCTTTTCATAAAGTATCATCCATCCAAATACCTGAACTGTCGAAGCAAAATAAAATGCCCTGCTTATCACCTTAGTACTACTTTCAAGCCTCAAGACAGAGCCCAACACTAATTATTTCTCACCTCCTGGAAATTTTGAAAGAAGAATCTCTATATTTTATTTCCTCTATTTTCCTTCACTTCTCCCATCTTAATCATTCATATTATTTTTAATTTTAAAAAATTTATTTAATAAAATAATATGAATGGTTGAGATGAAAAAAATAAAAGTAAATGAAGAGAAAGAAATTGAGAGACCCTTAATCTGATAATTCCTATCCCTACTTTGTTTTTCTTGCCTAACTTAGGCATCCATCCAAATTGAATACTCCCCCTGTCCACCTTTAACCGTTTTAATAGAATTGAGGGGAGACAAATAAATTATTAATTTTATTTAAAAATATAATAAATTTTTCAATTCTCTTACCATTTAAACAAAAAATTTCAATATTATATTATATTTTCTTATAGTTAATGAATTTAAATAGAAATAATATTTAAAAATAATTAATACTTCATTAACTGCCCAAAGAATCTTTCTAACATACACTCTATAACAGATACTACAAGAAGTATGTTAAAGTCTTGGAGAAACTTCACCCCATGTTTGCCCTTTATAAAGAGAAGCATGTGATTAGATTGATTTGGCGTTGGGCTCTAATTCTCTTCTGCGCTATACTGCAATGAGTAGAAACCAAATTGCATATTGGGGGCGTATGCTCAATAATATCTTTTTGGTAACAGTATACTCAAATATTTAAACACCAAGTATAACTGTTGAAGTTGAGAGATGTCTTTTATGTATCTTTTCTCATGGATATTGAAAGAAAAGATATTAAATATTAATCACAAAAATATAATAGAAGATTTCCATGCAATGCATAGACTATGATGAAATAATGATGTAGAATTTGAAAAATAAGTTTTGTATAAAAGACATGTGTACTTTGTTTTGAAAAAAATATTATATTTGAACAGAGATTTTAAGAATGTGTCAGAGAATGTATTAAAATATAAGAACAAGCAGACATGTTGACAAGTTTATTAGTAGATGCAAGATCCCCATAGTGGTCCCAGTTAATACCATAGCAATGATTAGATTTAGAACACAATTATTCATTCAATCCATTAATGCAAAAGGTTACATATTTTAATGAAAGAGCAGAATCAAATGTTGCATGATCAAAGCTTGAGGGATCTGAAAAGATGCCACACATGGTGATTGTTGAGAGCAGAGACAGAATTTAAGGTTTGAGAGTCGGTTGAAAGGGGGTTTGTCAAAAGTGTGGCCGTGAGGCGTGCTTGGTTTAGAGAAGGAGAGAGTATAGAAAAGAGACTTACTTGAAGGAGGGAGGGTTAGAAGGCCACTCAGGCAAATACTTGTCCAGAGGATGGCAATGGAGCCTCAGGTAGTCTCTCCAGTTATGCACCGTCTCCTTCTTCACATTAAAACTCGTTGACAATCTCGTTGTTTTTGATGGATCATCCGAGTACAGCTTCATCTTCTCCTCCACCGGCAGCTTGAAGAACTCACCCGCCACCTGTAATATATTTTCCACCACTTCCCGAGGCACCCCATGATTAATCACCTGCATAACATATATATACCACCCAAATTTCTTTTACAAATTTTGCAGCAAGATCTGAGAAACATGACGAAGATGTGTCTATTGTGCTGATTGAAGACCTGGAAAAAGCCATAAGATTTGCAGGCCTCACGAATTTGAAGAAGGAGATGGGCTCTGTCGGGAGAAGCAAGGTCGATGATGGGAACATCTTCGCAGGTGGGGACATCGGAAAGACGAGGCCGGTCGGATTCCGGTCGGACGTAACTGGCCGGCAAGGTGGAGAAGGGGACTCCGGAGGACAATACCTTGGTCTCCATTAGAAGAGGTGGGGAAGTATAAAATTTGAAACTTTTGGGGCAGGTTGGGAAAAAGGCGAAGGGAAAAACCAAAAAGCGTGACTGTTTACAAGTTGTATGTAACGAGGGACGGCTGATTCACTGCTTGGGCAGAGAGGGGCTCATAGCATTCATTTATATAGAAGCTAAGGACTAATTTTATCTTTAATCTAATAATAAAAATATATAAATAATTCTAAACTTAATTATAAATTATTTATTTTTTTTAATTATTAAGATTTTTAAATCTATCATCCAATTGTTTCTACTATTAATTTTTTTAGGCCCACGTACATTTAAATTTTTTAATATTTATTTATTATAAAATATTATTTTGTGAGTCCCAGTAATATTTTTTAATAATGTAAAAAATTCTTCTCTCTCTTACACTTTTTCTTTGACTCCCTCCCTCCCTTCTCTATCCCCCTCTTCTTTCTCTCCATCGTCTGAGACTTCCTCTTCTATTCTTCTATCTCTTTGAGCTCTAACTTAGCTTTAATTTCAATTTTGATTGCCTTTTTACCCTTCACTTTCTAGGATGAGCCACCACAATATCTACCTAACTCACTTTCATGCATGCATGTATTTCTTATGGATGATAGCCACTTCAAGATTAGCCTAATTGAGTTACGACATGAATGCGATGGTGTTAAAGAGCTGAGTCAACTCAACACAATTTTTGATGTGTAGTTGTGATCTTCTTGGGCATCCCTGTGCTTGGACCTATTGAAGGACAAGGAGGATGATGAGAGAGAGACGAAAAGAAGATGATGAAGAAGAAGAAACAGATGCAAGAAGAGGGAGAGAAGAAAGAGAGAAGGAGAGCAAAGAGGGGGCATCTAGTTACAAAGTTTAAGCATCCCTAGTGAAACCTGCATGATGATAACGCCATTGCCTTTATTTGCAATTTTATTCAAGATGAAGCCACATCTATGAGTTAGCACATATGACATGAAGAAGCTGCTCAACAATGTTATGCATGGAGCTCATGGCAAGTTCATGGTGGCTCTCAAATATGTCATGCTCCTTGTCTTCTTCATCTTCTCTTTCTTTTGCGAGTTCATGGTGGCATGGTCAGCTAATTTTCTTAGCTTGAAGGATAAAATTGACTCTAAATTGAGTTTATAATCATTTATGATATTTTAAGGATAAAATTGACCATTAACCTTTTATTTAATGCTACAAACATACCTCCATTAGTGCTCTATAGTTGAGTTTTTTTTTGTTGATGTTAACAGCTGTTTGATTTTTTTTTTTTTTGGGTTGTATATACAAGCACATGTACCTATCTACCGTGTGATGGTCGTAATAAAGAATTAAATTAAATTAAAAATAAATATGAATACTTGGGTAATGAAATGGTAAATCTGAAATTTCATGTTTAAAACTTTAAATGACAATAACATTGTCAATGGAACTGATGTTTATTGCTTTTACTTATTTATTTTATTTTATTTTGGGGGAAAAAACGATTTATATTTGTTATCATTGCCCTCTTTGGGCTTAAAAGAATCTGGCATATGAGAGTAATGTTTAGAAAGGAAAACGTTCTAACAACATTACAGCATTATTGGATTGAAGCTTTTACAGTTTTTTGGCATCCATTGGTTTATCAGTAGTCTTCACTTGCATTTTAATTATTTTACCAGCAAAAGTAAGTATGTGAAGACTGAAGAAGGTATAATAAATTGGCATTGTGATCTAAACACTAAACTAACAAATAAGCGGGCCACTGATGTTCTCCCGCAGCGCACATGGGGATCGCGGGCCTACCGGATTAAGAGGACAGACACAAATGATTTGTTTTTAATAAAGCAGAGAATTCATCATAAATTTTATATATATATATATATATATATAAAACTAAACAACATGGTTCATAGCATAACAATGCAAAATATGCTTGCCAAGTGAAATCATCGTCTAATTCGTTGCACTTTTCACGGAGAGAAGACCCATCTTCAGCTCTTATTTCTTGAACAAGATTCCTTCCTTTTGATATCGTACTTCAATTTATATACTACGAAATTTATCATTCGCCAAAAGGAAAAGAAAAGAAAGGTTCCCCAGAATTTTACATGCACTGGCAAATAATAGAGTTGTGACATCCAAAATGAAATAAGTTGACTATACAAACAAGTCGTTGGCCCGTTTATATAAATTTTGTTGATCGACGAGAGCGTTGTGAAATTAAGAGTAGAAAACGCCAGTCGGCCTCGGCCACGCCTGTTAGAAATATTAAATAATAGCAATAATAATTATGGCCAAATCATAATAAAAACATACACGTAAGCCGCTAGCATCTTCCATGGGACCACGCAAAATAAAAAGGAAAAAGGCAAATGACATGGGCTGCGGAACACCGTTACCTTCAATAAAAAAATCTTTAATATTTTTTTCGTCTAAATTATAAAATAACTTAAAAAAATTAATATTTAAAATAAGAGATAATTTCAAAAAAATTATTAATAATATTTTTTAAATATTAATCTTTAAGTGGAAAGTAAATTTGTAAAGTATTATTATCAATATTATATTTTATTAGTGTGTACTCCTTTGATCCCAAATTATAAGACACTTTTGATAAAAATTTGCCAACTCAAAATATAAAAAATTTTGAGAAGATTAAAATTTTATTAAATAAATTTATTTTAATATTATCTTTTTTTCTTTATTTAATATTAATTAGATGTATATTTAAGGTTATTAAATGAATGATATTTTTAAAAGTTTACATTTTTATTTTTAAAAAAATAAAATTATTGAGTGTATTTAATAAAATTTATTGATATAAAAAATTTTATTTAAAATTATTTTATAATTTAAAATAAAAAAAGTATAATTTTATTTTTATAATCTGTGATTAAGGGAGTACAAAATAAGAATGCTTTTTTATAAATTAACACGCAGTACGTGTTACAGCTTTCATGTGTCATATATTGATTATCTTAATTGACAGTAACCAGTGATTCTCAGGCACGTACACTGTGTTATATGTTATGTTTGTAACCTAGACAAACTGCCAATAGGAAACGCCGTTAATTAATTGCCTTGGACCATTCAGGCCGACCGTCATTTAAGTGCGACTTTAGCTGCCGTTTTGTGTTTACTTAACCATCTTTTACTTTTTACCCAAAACGCTGAAGTTAAGAGGCACTATTTCTCTTTAATCATGTCATACGTGGCCTAAGCGTCGTCGTCGGATATCCAAGGAGCAAAGCCAATTAATTAATGGGTTCGTACTACTGATTAAAATATACATGGAGCAAGAGACCCTAACGAAGTAATTTGTTATTTTTATTAATGAAACTCTGTGACTCTAATTATTATTATATATAACCAACTAGACGTCGCGCCGCGCAGTGCAGGAGTTTGGAGAATAATAGGCATGGATCACTTTCCGTGAATAACATAATAAATGCTCAGTTATAATTTTATATTTTATATTAATTTTAATGTTTTATTTTTATAAATATTGAGACATGTATACATGATTTCATAAACACAAGTTCATCATGTATAAATAATTTGCTGATAAGTCACATGCTTCATTTTTGTCCGCAAATAAAAAAATACTAATAGGCAAATCAATAACAAAACAACGTTTGTACGCGCGCGTGTGGTGATGTTTCATCTCCCATCTTCTTCTAGCGTTCGCAACTTGGCATAACGGAGGATGTAAATCCAGAAATATAGCTAATGGAATGGAAACGGTCGAGATAGAATGTAAATAAATATTACCTTTTACTTTATCTGATAGTTGTTTATGCTAAACTTTTATTTTTAAAATACAAGCTCGCCATTGATGTTCAATCTAATTCGAGGTCATTTTCTGATTCTGACGGATCTTAATTTAGAAGGAAACAGAAGTCATTTCCCAAACGTAAAAGATTACTTAAATATCTTTTCCGGCAATGAGAAGAAAGAAGAAACAGAGGAAACATCGAAAGGATAAGATCATCAGATGGGAGGACGACATGAGTGGCTTTCCCCGTGCGAATGGGATCCATCAGCCATACCTGTACATCATGTGGCCATTTTCATTCAATTTGCTGTGGTTCCTATTTATTAGACGGCACATGCACCGCACAAGGAAAGTGCTTTGATTTATGGGGGAAGGGATAGGAATTATTACTCCACAAACAGTCGGAGAGTAGCACTGGTTCATCCAAAAATGCTAGTCTGCATCAAGCCATCCATTAATAAATAATCAAGAAGAAAAAGCACAAACGAACATTACATGGAAGTTTCAGTGTGTTCAAAGCATGGTTTAAAGCAAGGAACTTGAGTTGTGGAATTGGCATTGGCTAGAGTTTCCTTCGTGAAACCATGAGCAACACAAAAAAAAAAAAAAAAGGAGGATTTCTAGCTAGCTTCCCATTACATGTCTTGGGTCGAGGTTGTTGAGCAGCTTGTCACGAATAGGATAGTTAAAAAAAAAAGAAAAGAAAAATCTTGATCACCGTCTGAATTGCCGAGGAGGGACCAACAAGGACAAGGCCATAGGACATTATTGTCTCAGCACGTGGTTAATGTCTTCATGCCAGCTATACGCTCGCAAGAGTCTGAATTCGGTGCCTCTTCGATTCCTTTCAGAGTTAGTTAACAGTTTACTATTCAGTGTTAACTAGAGAAAGGTTTGAGGATTTGCCTTTTAGGGAGCCATTTCCAGAGTCCCAAGAGGAACAACTGCTACTAGCAAGATTATATGAACTAGGAGTAGATGGCACACTATAGGTTACATGATAGGCTTTTAATATTGGATAAAAAATGCTTTTAACGGTGGTTACAGAACCATTGTTGTTCCAGGGGATATGACTTTTAAATGGCTGGAAATAAAATTTCAACAATGGTTATAAGTTTGTTGTTAAAAGTTGCCCATTGCTTGCATTTTTTGGAAAAAAAAATGGAACTTTTAACAGCGATTGTACTTTTAACAGTGTTAAGATTCAGGAAGACTCGACTTGAGAATCAAATTACTGATGCCATCCTTGATGTTGGTTCTATAATTCCACGCGAAAAATATATTACTACTCCTCTTAGGGCAACCTCCTACCCAAAATATGATCA